TTTCATTTTGGCTGCTCCCTTCTTCAGGTGTCACCACAGCAAACTAAGTCGCACGAAGAGTGGCAATTATTTTTACACTGGATGCCCTTCCTGACATAACCACAGACCACCGAGCTACCACAGCCCTCAGTAGGGCGCCTGGGGGAGCAGATGGTGGGTGCCGAGGGCCTTGGGCCCAAGGTGGGGCAAATGAGGGTGGAGGCAGGTGTGGGTGTTTCACTTATTCCACCCACATTTTGATTGATGGGTTAAATCCACCCAAAACTGCAGCAAATTTGGTCCGAGTCAACCCTGGGTAGATTCACTCAGCAGGGTTGGGTTTTCAATTTGGCTCGGCATACTGGGTTAGGTATTCTACCAAAACATTTAGTTGAAATGACTATATTTAAAAATTAAATTTGACTAAGAGGTGTTACTTTCAGGGCAGCATGGTGGCGCAACTGGTAGAGCTGCTGCCTCTCAGCGAACAGGTCCCTGGTTCAAACCCCGGTCCAGGTGCCTTCTGGGTGGAGTTTGCATGTTCTCTCCGTGCATGCGTGGGTTTTCTCCGGGTACTCCGGTTTCCTCCCACAGACCAAAAACATGCATGTTAGGCTGATTGGTAACTCTAAATTGTCCCTAGATGTGAGTGAGAGAGTGAATGGTTGTTTGTCTCGTTTGTCTCTATGTGTACCTGTGATGGACTGGAGACCTGTCCAGGGTGTACCCCGCCCCTCGCACAGTGATTGCTGGACATGGGCACCAGCGACCCCCGTGACCCAAAATGGAATAAACGGGTAAAGATAATGGATGGATGGATAATGGTGTTACTTTTAGAAGCCGCATAACTATTAGTTAAATAAGATCCACCTGTGTGCGATCTAAGAAGCTATAGATAGGCAAATAGTTTTCCATGTTGGAGAAAATGTCCAGAATACGATACACAGAAAGCTAAGTAATTGTCATTTACATTATTAAGAGGACCTACTTTTTGAGGCAAATTATTAGTTCTTTCATCTCTTACGTCTAGATGAAGTCACACACCAAACTGGAAGTCGGTACCCCACTTATTTTTCATAACATCCAGCTCATAAGATGGACAGACATGTACGGAGCAGCAATCTTGGATTTTGACGTGATAAACTAATTTTCAAAAGGAAACGTTCTTATGCCTAGATGTAGCCGCATACCAAATTGGAAGTTGGTAACACGCTTATTTTTTAAGTTATCATACTAAAAGCACATGGATGAACAGATGGGGCGGGGGGGGGGTATTTATACTTCCCCCTCTTGCCCTATGACGGGGGACAACAAAGCCAACCAGCCGACCTTTAATTAAATATTAACAATGATTTAGTAACTGCTCTCAGCGGTACTCGTTGCACAATTGATGAGCTTAACTTCACTGAAAATTAACTTAAAGACAGGTTTGCTTTGACGCCAGTGTAAACTTTATTGGAGAAGCCTTTTTTATTGACATTTTAGCACATTAGAAAAAAGTCAAACAGCTAGAGATGTTTTCCTCAGTTACTGGTTAGCATGTGTGCAGTTACTGCCTTACTGTTTACAGAGACTTCCTGCGATCTGAAGACATCCTGGTTAAACAAACTGACACACAGCTGTGTTGCCTGTATGTGTTACCAGGAATGATCTGCCATTGGATCCACATTTGTATCACTCTGTTCTGGCTAGAGGATTAACCATTTTTAGTCTCTAACACATGTTCCTCAGAGTGTAAAACATCTGGATCATCATAAAATATTGGTCTGACTCAGCTGTACAGGGGCCATTTATAAATGTCATCGGAAACAGCACCAACAAGGTATGAATCTCAACTTTGTGCAAAACATGGGTGAGTACGGTACATTTCAATCTGAAAGGCCTGATGGAAGTCCAACATGCAGTGGTGAGATGAGGACTTCCATCCATCACTTCTAGGACTCAGTGTTCTGAATTTGAATGCATGTTTGGAACCCAGAAAAAAAGTATGGTCAACAATGTTAACTCCGTTGCACTGTTGCCTTACAGCAAGAAGATCCTGGGTTCAATTCCCGGTTTGGACCTGGGGCATGGAATTTGTATGTTCTCTTGCGTGGGTTTTCTCTGTGTACTCTGGTTTCTTCCCACAGTCCAAAAACATGCTTGGTAGGCTGATCCAGGCCTCCCTTGCAAAAGAGTGACCTCAATGTGATTTGCCAGATTAAATATGATGACAAGAAAATGCAATAGCTTCACACCAAAGATACCAGTAATCAGAACTAAATCTCCAAGTATCCTGATGCATGCTCAGTAATCTCCAAATCTGTTTGCAGAACTGTAGGCCAAAACTTGCAGGAAACTTCCACCATGCTTTATTCATGTCTGCTTTTGCAGAGCCTGACGAGCACATCCTCAACCCTTCACAGTCTGCTTTGAAGTCGTTGGCAAAGAGAGACTTTACAGATTGTGTTGGTGCTGTCCTCATTATCATCATGGTCATAGTTGGACATGAAACTGTCTTCTCCTCACCTTGGTAGCAGAGTTTGGGTGTTCCTCACCCAGTTTTTATCCTCCTACCACTGTTTGTTTCTGGTAGTGAGTGTTGTAACCCACTTATATAAAAATGATAATTAGCAACAAAATCCATGACTTTGTGCAAGTGTACCTAAAAGACTTCATGTTAATATATATATATATATATATATATATATCCATCCATCCATCCATTATCTTTACCCGTTTATTCCATTTTGGGTCACGGGGGTCGCTGGTGCCCATGTCCAGCAATCACTGTGCGAGGGGCGGGGTACACCCTGGACAGGTCGCAAGTCCATCACAGGGCCACATAGAGACAAACGAGACAAACAACCATTCACTCTCCCACTCACACCTAGGGACAATTTAGAGTTACCAATCAGCCTAACATGCATGTTTTTGGTCTGTGGGAGGAAACCGGAGTACCCGGAGAAAACCCACGCATGCACGGAGAGAACATGCAAACTCCACCCACAAGGCCCCTGGACCGGGGTTTGAACCAAGGACCTGCTTGCTGAGAGGCAGCA